AGTCTCCTGTGTTCTTAATAAAAGGATCAAAGGGAAACCTAGATCTATAATGTCTTACATATATACATATGTTAATTATAATATTTATAATATTATAGTATCTATCAGTGAGCAAAACAAGCCAATCTATAACCTTCTCATATTAAATTCAATGACCCTCACCCACTGCTACTGCTCAAAAAAAAAAAAGAAAAAGAGGATTCTTTCATCTGGTTTTCTTGAGGATTCTACTATTTCAGTTATTTTATGCATTTATTGCAGAAATTATTTGTTGTCCAACTTGTTGATTTTTAATGTCCCTATATTAATTCCAGGCCCTCATATTATAAGAAGCTTGAGGATTTTTTAAGATAAGAATTTTCAGTACAATCTTTTTCTAGATAAAGGAAAAATATATTTTGGAGCCTGAAGACATATTTGAGAGAGAAAATAAAGACACTGCCATTTCTTTTACATAAAGAAATGTTTTAGTTAAGCCTCACTAACATCAGCATTTTTGATGTTCAGGGTTAATATTTGCTGGGAAAGAATTCATCTGTGAAGCTATTAAGATAGCTAAATAATAAGCTATGGGGTGAGCTTCCAGATATCTAAGCAGTTCTTTGGCCTAGAAGGGTCTCCTAGAGATCCAATTCAATTCAATTCTGACACTAAGGTACACCATGAAGATAGAATCAGATTCCACAAGTTAAGGGCTTAGTCCCATGAAATTGCTCTCTATTTTAGATGTCAGTTGTAAGCCCAGATTGTTACCTATGCTGCTGACCAATCACCTACAAACTGAAGGTTGCCACAACCCCATGCTTCTACTTCAGTTACCTGTACTTCTGATTCACTGGTATAAATGAGAGTCTGACATTTCTCTTCTTTGGTTGAATTAATTTGCAAGAGCACTTGGGAAACCCATAGAACCTAGGAAACCCATTTACCCGTTAGGTTAGTGGTTCATTGCAATAAGGTATTAAAGGACTCAAAAGTCTGATGAAGAGATTCAAACAGAGGAAGTCTCTCCTTGTGGAATTGGGACCCAGTATGATGACATAGGATAGTATTCTATTTCACTAACCCAGAAGCTCCTGGAACCCTCTCCTTTTGTATTTTTATGGCAGTTTTATTACACAGACATTATTGAGTCTTTGACAATTGATTGGTTCAACCTCCAACTTCTCTCCCCTCCTTGGAATTTAGGATTAGGAATGAAAGATCCACCCCTCTATTCCTAATGGGTTCCTCTGGCAATCAGCCTGTCTTTAGGTGCTTTCCAAAACTGGTCTTATTAACATAAACTCAGCTGCGGTAGAAAGGAGCTCACTATGAGTAAGACACTTATGTATTTCACCTTTATGGCTCCGAAACATTTTTCAGGACCTGAAATTAACAGCCCTATTACCTGTATCACTCAGGAAACTCCTAAGGGATTGGGAGCTGTGAGTTAGGAACCATAGATAAAGACCCAATATGCAGGAGAAAAACTTTAGTCACCTGAATGACCAAATATGTTTCTTATGAGCTGAAGTAAAATTATTTAATTTCTGGTTTGAGAAAAATACTTAAGATTTGAGTTTAAAGGAATTTAACTTATAGTGCTAAAGCTGAAAAACTAACCTGAAACTTTAAATATATGCGTTTAGGGAGCTCTAAATATTCAATAAATGTATAGTGAACATAATTTCATTAGAAATGGTAAAAACCATTTGAATGGTTTTTAAAGGTATTTGAATTAGTTCCTATGACTAGGAAAATATCTTCAAATACATTCAATCATAATATCCACTAAACATACTTCATAATATTTTTAGTATAATTTTATAAATGTATGATCACTTCTAATATTTCACTAGAACACATCTAAAGTTCTGAATTATTTTACTAAATTATTTTGAAGCCAACCTCCAAAACCAAATGATAGGTCAATCACCCTGCAGAGAAAGTGGCAGGATAATTTAGCACTTTCCTAACAATCTGAAAACAGAACACTGCTTCCAATAATTGCCCAAGTGTTAGACTACACTCTAAATAACAGTCCATCATAATAACAGGTGACTTGAAAGCAGAGGCATATTATTCTTAGTCAGTTCAAACATTTGAAAAAGCAATCTAATGAATAGAAGTAACATATGAATGAGTACCCGAGACCAGAATCAACTTGAGTGGCAGTGTTACTGATTACTGAAATGTTATTTAAATAACAAAATATTATTTTGGAGTGGAGGGGATAGGCACATTAATCTATTACACAATTCAAGAAATATCTTCACCTGTAACCTCTAACATACTATAACACATATACTACTATGTTAAAGGATGCATGCTACTGCATATATAGCATAGTATACATACTGTAACATCTGTAACATACAGAGCTATGGGCTATGCTAACATAAGCATGATGTGCTATGAACCTACCAAGGGCTCACAGTTTAGTGAGGCACCATAGAAACAATTCAACTATGCAAATAAAACTGATCACACAGACATCACAAGGCAAATGGGGGAGTGGAAATAGACCACCCGAAAATTTGGCACTTTATCATGTGGATTTCTTAGGGGATGTACCATATTTCCTGCCCCCACTTAATGAGGGGTAAAGCTGAGTGGCCAGGTAAAGATCTGTTAACACAGAAGACAGGCAGGTGGACTAGAAAAAGAGCTCTAGTTTTTGCAGCCTTATTTGTACCCTGGTCCTTCTAGGAAGAAGACATATGGAGAGATGTACAGAGAAACTTGGAAGAGACAAGTGACTGAGAGAAATATGGAGAGGCTGACAGTATTAATTATCTTGATGGGGTATCTCATTTTGTCCAAGCATTCTGAACCTGCTTCAAAATCCCTTTCCTATGGTTACCCACCAGAAGTTATCTTAGACTTGTGGCAAGCACAGTGGCCGTGCCTCCTGACCAGCCTGTTTAGCTGGACATTTGCCCACAAGGGGATGGATAATTTGGAGTGTTTTATTGGCACAAAAATATCCTCTCTTCTCTGCCCTCTTTAGGGACACTAATTATATTAAAAATTTTTACACTAAGACTGTATCTTTGTCTTTATGGTAGGATCCCATTTGAGGGAGTCTGGAAGTCCTAGGTTACCCCCTTAGTTGTTATTGTTTATAGAGATATAGCCAGTTAGGGCCCAAATACTTCCCTTTAATTGCCAAAAAAAAAAAAATTAGACAAGAGAATGTGTTCCAAGAGAGGAGTAATCACCATAAACGACTACAATGTAATAGGAGCTAGGTGTAGCAGACAGAGAGGAACCTAGGAAAGTCTTAAAAATTACTACCTGTGTTCCTTATTTCTGCATAGCCCAGAAAACATTTGCTTACAAGATATTTGCTCTTCTCATCTTCCTGTGAATTACCTTCCTTCCCTTTGAAGTGCTACACCCCAGCCTTCTCCCTAGTCCAGGATGAAATACAAACTTCATTCACCTCACAGTCAAGGAGGCTCATGCCTTTGTAGGGTTCCATTTACATACAAAAGTAAATATGTTTTCCTCTTGTCCTGTTTTATGGAATTGGAATTATTAGACCAGTCAATGAATCTAGAAAGGTAAGAGGAGATTTTTTTTTCTCCCCTATACCAGGAAAGGGATTCAAGGTGTGGTCAAGTATACCCAGAAGGAAAAGGGGAGGGGTCTAACATGGAAAACACATGGCAAAGTTGCAAAGGCCTATGACAACTGTGGTGTCTTGAGGGATGAGTAGGTTTCAACTAGGAGGTCTAGGCTGATTTATTGGAAGGGGTTGTCAGGAAAGGAAGAGATAAAGGATCAATATGAGCAAAGGGAGAAAACTTCTGGATATATTTATAGAGTAGAAAATTATTCCCATTTGAGGGTGCAGAGAACAGATGCAGGTTAGCAATGAAAAGATAAGAACTAGAAAACAGCCTTTGGCCAGAAATGGACAGAAATGCCAATTCTTATCTGATAGTCACTGAAGATATTTTAAGTAGCAAACCATGCTTTTTTTTAAGTAAATATTCATATCCTCGCTCCTTCTTCAATAAAGGTATAGAAGAATTAAAAAGAAGGGCTGAATTTCAGATAGAAAGGATAATTATAGTAGCTACTTTTATTTTTATTTCAAAACTTTCAGTTGGGTTTATGTTCTAAGAGCTTTGCATTATTTTATTCTTTGAAGTGATTTGGTTTATTAGTAATTATTAGTCATATTTTACTGAAGAGAAAACGGTAACTCTAAACTTGCCCAAGTTTGCAGAGTTTATAAGAAGTGGTTCAAGGATTTCAGCCCACCTATGCAGTCTGAAACTAATTTTTTAACCTACCTTTTAGTCTGGGCCACAACAAATCCAAGACAGTGCCTGAAATGAAACCCTGGCTCCTCTGAAAAATAGGCCAGCAGGCAGGTAGTCTCCTTCAGTGGTCCCCATCCCCCTGTATTCATGTCCTGTGTCATCTTCTCCCTCAATTGTGGTGACTAGAACTTACTTGTTTGCTTCTAACCAACAGAATACCAAAGAAGAGATGGGAAGAAAACCATCTCTTTTAAGATTGGGTACCCTGAGAGTCTTGAATCATATCTGGGTAAGCTAAGCAAATCACCTGGTTTTGTGGGGAAATGGGTGCTAGAAGCTGGTATTTCAATTCACAGGGGTCTTTTCTAAAGGTGAAAATTTTACTCAAAGTCCATAGGGAAGAGACATGTTGAAATACTGGCTTTCACAGAGACCCTCAGATCACTCAACTGGGGAGAGTTTCACTGAGGTGCTAGAGATGTGATAGAGCTTAGTGGTTGTTAGTACTAGATGCCAAAGTGAGGTACCTGGGTTTGAATCCCAGATCTTCTACTCAAAAGACTTTGAGCATGTCACTGAAATTTTAAGATCCACCTCTAGGAACAGGTGGGAAGAAAATGCCTCATAAGTAGTAAGCAGTTATTAATTGTCTACTAGTAATATTATCATTTAATTGCTAGTTCTGAATAAACCTGAGGAGAGAAATTCCTTCAAGGTGGCAGAATTAGAGGAGAATGCACTTACTGATTTGGTTGTTCAGCCTGAATGCAATGTCCAGCTGCAGGATAAACAACATGAATTGGAACCAAGGACTCATCTCCATGTTGGGGAGGGGAATGTGGACAGAAAACACAATGTCATTGGCTTCGATTTCCCTTGGAATGGCTTCCTCGAAGTCTTGGATCTTGTCACATGGGTTAGAGCCCCAGGGTATTAACCACTTTGTCTTGTGATGGTTTTTACGGACATCCACACATTTCACTGACAAGTAGGACACAGCCGTCGTAGGAGCTGGTGCTGAAAAGAGAATAATAGCGTGGTTTTAGGAATATCATCCATTAAAGTGTTCACTGTCTTTTCTACATTTTTCCTATTGGCTTCTATAACAAGGGATCACTAATACCTGGGAATCCCTGGAATTCAGACAAGGATCCTTTAATAACCTCCAGTATCCCCAGGAGTCTTTACCACTGTGTTTTCAATCAATGTTATTTATTGAAAGAACATATTTGTAATTGGTGCAGTTCATTATTTCCTTACTCCAAACCAATGTCACAAAAGCTTACTGTGTTTCCACCTACTTGAGAAAATGGAGGGCTCTGTGACTTAACTGAGTAGTTTCTGAAGTCAAGACAATTTACTATTAGTTAATCTTGGGTAAATTGATTAAATCTACAGTAGCTTCAGTAACTCCATCTGAAAATAGGATGACTGGTTTTTAAGATCCAGCCAAATGGTTCATTCCTAAGATTCTTAATTCTTAAAATTTTACAGCAGTGTTTCTGATTGATCCCAGGTCCCCACTTAGTACAGTACTTAGTACAGTACTTAACAGAGTGTGGGGTTCAACAGCTGACAGAGTCTTCAAAGGTGTACTAATACATGCATTTCAAGAGGCATCATCAAATTTGAAATATATAACATTAAAAATAATACTCAAATTATATAATGGTTACTTGATTATAATAGAAAATATGCACAATACAGAAATTTTAAAGTTCAAAATAACATATACTCAAAATCCCACTAGAGGGAAGTAACCACTGTTGGAAAAATATCAAGATACTATATAGTCTATGACTGATCAATTAGATTTAAAATTTTAGACATGAATTAAATTATATAACTTTAAAATAAATACTAGTATTAACATGTATTTTGACAAAAGGAACCACAGTTTTATATCTTTTTCTGTTTTACTGTTTTAGAGAAGCAGAGGGCACAACAGCAATTAACACCAAGCTCCAGAATCATCCTGGAGAAATCCTGGTCCTCTCATTTGTAGTCATGTCACTACACACTAGGAAAGTTTTGGGCGAATTAAATGTCTATCTATTAGGTTTTTTGTCTGTAAAATGGCAATTATAATGATACAAGTTACATGAAAAGTATTCACAACTGTGGCTGAACACATGAAAAATATAAATTTGATGTTATAAAGGTTTTCAATATATGTCAACATTTTAAACTACTGGCTGAAAAATAATCACATGACATATCAAATTTAATGTGCTTATATTTCCATTGGTTCTTTCCCTAATATTATTTTGTTAGCAATTTATCCTATTTTATCTATTTTCCAAAATTGTTTATGGTGTACTTAAATATGGAGACATTTTCTACAAAATATAGATTTTTATAGAAAATCTCTTTTCCTTTGTTTTCTCATGTTTTTGTGCTTAAAGAGAACTTCTCTATTGCCCAATAGTCACTTTATTAATATATTTTTATGATTTGATTTTGTAATCTTTTTAGCATTAATCCATCTAGTATTTGTTTTGACATAAGAGATGAGATGAGGCTCTAGTTAATTTTTCTTAAATATTTAAATCATTCTTTATTGAATGAATTCTCTTTTCTTACTGATTTATGACATCACCAGTAGATGTTTCAGAAGAATCTTCCTTGATCTCCAACTTAAGACCCACACAAACTGCTTTAATTCTACATATTGAGGATTTGCATTAATGTCTGATAGTTGATCCTTCCCCCCAATCAATTTCAAAGTTACATTCTTTTGCTCAGTTTTTCATTGAAATTAAATTAAATCTATATATAAATAGAGTGAGAACAGGTGTTCTTTCCAATATTTAGTTTTCCCATTTAAGAATGGTGACCTCTTCTCCATTAACTGAAATCCAATTGTTATCTCTGAAGGTTTTTTATAGTTTTCTTCATGTGGTCCTACTAGTACAACATTCTTTTAAAACATTCTTTTAAAAATATAAGTTTTTTGGTCCTCCCTGGTGGCACAGCGGGTTAGAGCACAGCACAAAAAGGCCTAAGCCACTTCCGCATGAGTTCGATCCCCGCCTGGCCCGGAGGTGACCACATGGCGCTGCAGACCTCTCCTGGCCCGCCCGCTGCTCGCCTCAGCAGTGTACTTCGTCGATCTGCCTGTTCTGCTCCCCACTCTGTCCCTGGTGAAGCCTCTCACCCTCTGAATCTCTGGCCTTTACCCC